GGCAGAACGGGCGCTCACGGCGGGGCGCTGCCGAAGCGACTCCAGGCAGGCGGTCAGGCCCGACACCCTCCCCAGAAGGGACGTGATGAGCGAGGTGCTTCACCTCGGGGTCCCTCCCCAAACCCCATTACCCCAGCTTCAGCACGAGAACAAAAATTTCAGGCAAATCCCAATTGAAGGCTTTCCTACAGAACACTTAACCAGGGCTCCTTAAAGCTGTCCAGATCATCAGACACAAGGAAAATCTGAGAAGCTGTTACAGCCCGGAGGAGCCCAAGGAGGCAGGACGACTAAATGCGGTGTGGTGTCCTGGACGCTGGGATGCCGGGACAGACGAAGGACACAGGGAGAAACTAAGGGTGTTAATATAACCACAGGTGTTACTGAGGGCGCTCGACGAGAACGCATCAATGCTGGTTCATTAATAGCAACAAATGAACCGTGTGACGTAAAGTGTTAACTCCAGAGCACGGGGCGCCTCGCACGCTCTTTACAGTTTTTCTGAAAATCTAAAACTCTCCTAAAATTAAAAAGTGTATTTAAAAGTATAAACTATTGACTCTGTCACTTCAAGGAAAAGAAGCGACGGTACTCGTTGCCACTGATAAACTTTGAGCTTCCAAGTTCAAATTAGGGTTTTGGGCAACTTGCATCCTGAGCTTGGCAGCCTCCCAAAACTTAAAGACTTTTCTGATGAAAAATGGTGACATTTGCAAGTGTGATTTGGGGGGAATATTGTCTAACAGAAAATCTGTATAATTTTTGGAATTGTTTCCCAAATGACCCATATGATGTTACCAAAACCAAATCATGCGTGGGTAAAAGATTCACTGAAACTTGAAGATGGACCCGTGGACTTGACCTTACCAGGGTACGGGAGGCTCCCTGGTGTAACTGTGGACGCGCACTGCACCGAACCTGTGAGAAACCAGCACTTGCGGACTTGGGGACAAAACAGTGTCCACAACTGTCTGAAAGACCACTAAAATACATCTCCCCTTTCCAACTAACTATCTGTGTGAAGCTGCATTTTTTCATATATTTCCCCCAAAGTAACATCTCACAACAAATTGAACGCAGAAGCAGAGGCACGACCCCTGCTCTGTGGATGGTTGGATGATCTCTTATGAGGCTGTGTTCCTCTGACCCTTGGCCTTTGAGCTGGGCCAGCTTGGACCACAGCTGTCTCTTTCTGGTCAAATCTCTGAAAACCACGGATCGCCATCAAGCCACTCCAATTCGTGGTGCTTTCTACAAAGTCACTCTCACTTAATTGTTGAGAAGAGATAGGATCAGATTTCCAAAGCGTAGTATAAACCAAGAAAGAGGTTATCATTTGTCAATTTCACACCTGGGGATTGCAAAATTCACGCTGTTCCAAGTGTGATGAGTCAGCCAGGCCCACATCTGGGAACCGTTCAATTTTAGCACCCTAATTTCGGGATGGATTTAGGATCTTCGCACATCTCCTTCGTCACAATTTCTGTTCTGTTGGAAACACCAACTTACGTGTCTGTCTTCAATGCAGGGAGGCGATTCATTTTTCTGGCTCTGGAATAAAACACGACGGCTGGAGGTACATTTTGAGACATTCAGTTATGAGTTCTGCTTGCTGCTTGCTGCTCAAGCTACTTCATTTACTCGACCTCTCTAAGCCTCAGCTTCTCCGTTTGTGAAAAAGGAGATGGTGCTTGGGTTGACCACAAAGTCCTGTTCCAAAGTGTCTGCGTGATAAAGACTGTAAACACACACACACACACACACACTCACACACACAGACACGCGTGGGTCTGTTCACTGTGTGTCTACGTGCATATGTTACACATTCACATTTGCACGATTGCTATTATTGCTTCCGCACCAACCTTTCTCTGTGAGGTTCTAGAAGGTGGAACCGGGTCTCAGGTGCCCGGTACACGGTTTGGCCCAAAGTGAGTCTTCAATAAGTGTTTATTAACTTAAATTTTGGTGGGAAAAGAGTTTCCCTGTGTTTCACATTAAAGAAATCTACTCTCAGAATAAAGCCCCTTTGCGCCCCTTCCTCCAGGACGAGCAGGTGCTTCAGCTGCCCTTCGTGTGATCGCTGCCAGCGGCTCCGGCGGCACCGCTGTGGGCGGTGGCCCGGCGCAGAGCAGAGGCGGCCCCTGGCAGGAGCGGCCGTGGAAGGCGGTGCGGCTCGTGGGGGAGGCACGCGAGAAGGCAGCTCTCTGCAGGGCCCGGTGATTTTGTGCATGGCCGAGCACATCCGCGGCTGAAGCCTCCTGATTAATTTTCATTTTTGATCTGTCAACCTAAGTTTAGGGTGGCATGAAGAAAGCAAAACTCACCGCGGCCCCGACTGACCAGGAGATGCAGACCCGTGTGCGCGCTCCTGTGCGCGTGTGTGTACCTGCCGCCGTGTGCACGGTGGGGAGTGTCTGCGTCAGCCAGGAGCCCGAGACTCACCTAGGTTGCCCTGTGAGGCGGGATGCTCTGCAAAGACCACGGGAGTGGAGCCAGACCTGGCCTGGAACCCAGCACTCACCGTGGCCCAGACTTGGAAAAGCATTCCTCTCCCATGGACCGAATTGGCTTATGACTAAGAGGTTGAACCTGTAACTTCTGATAACCTCTGATCATGCATACAGCCCAGAGATGGCCAGAGTCCCTGTTCTCTCCTGTGTGTTTCCGCCATCAGACAAAACCAGTCTGGAATTGGGTTGGGAGAGATTTTATTGTGAAAAGAAGGAAACACTGCAGTGCAAGGTGCTCTGACCATCAGAGCTCCAGGCCAAGAAGAGCCATGCTCGGACCCGTACGTCGTGTTCAAGGACCAGCTGGAGCTGTGCTGGGTCGGGCTCGGGGTGGGGCAGAGCCCAGGGCCCCACGGGGATGAAAGGAGCTTGACCACCGGGTGGTCAGGTCGGTTAGCACTTTGTCCTTATTGGCCGCATCAGCCAATTGTTTAGGAGGCAAAGAACGGGAATTCGGAGGGGCCGTGTCTGATCCGGTCACAGGTGTACGCAGGGGCATCCGTGAGTGCTCACTGAGTCATACTGCAGGGAGCAGGTCCCTGGACCACGAGGCTGTGTCCCAGGAGCGCGGGGCTGAGGTGAAATTGGACGTTGTGCCCTGAGAGCCAACGTCTGCTCTGAGCCCCGTCCCGTGGGGCGTCTAGAACGGGATGCTCATGCTGGTTTCCAGGATCAAAACGACAGCCAGCATTGCCCCTCTGCCCTGTGGGCCGAGCCGGGAGTTCACAGCCAGGACTGCGCCCGGCTGTCCGGGAGGGAGATGCTGATCAGAGCCGTCAGCAGGTCCAGGCTTTGCCTCTCACGTCGCAGCGAGTCGCAGCTGGAGGGTCTCAGCAGCTGGGCCGGGCCAGTGCTGTCCGGACCAAGGGTCTCCTCACCCCCATCTTCCCTCTTCTCCTTCCTGGTGTGACTTTCCTCTCAAGGCAGAAAAGTGGTTGGGGCACTTGTGGGCACCACCCCTTTATCCAGGCAGGCTTTGTCGTTTTATTCAAGAAGTGGCATGCTTCTTAGAGACTTCTGGGCGAAACTCCTTGGCAAGAGTTACATCACGTGGTCACTCCGAGCTGCATGGATTTCTGGAAAGCCGAACCTAGACAGCATAAATGTGACCCACCTCATTCTCAAATCGTGACACCTCATCTTGAAAAATCTAGTGAACTTACTGTATAAGCCGGTGTTTGTTTTAATACGAAATAATATTTTAAGTACACACCAATTAAATACGGTTTTTTCCTCCCTCCAACACCGGATTAAATTGAGGGGAGACCTTGTCCATTTGGTGACCTCAAGGGCAGCTGGGCACAAGGCAAAGCCCTTGGAGACACACTTTCTTGGACCCTCCCAAGACGTGCCAGATAATTGTCAGTTTATAAACTCAGGGCGAACAGACTTTGTCGAGTTGAAAACACGGACCATGGGAGATTTGAATTTAGAAACACTATAGATTTTCTGTCCTGAGAAAATGTGCGTTTAGAGAAAAAAGGTTAAAATACAGTCGTGGGTAAAACTGCCCTAAAGAGAAATATTGATTATTGTTTGATACAGCAAATAATAACAAAGTTGCCAGAAATCTCAGGATTTTCAAAAATAAAAGCTGTGATTTAAATGAACACCACTAGGTTTCCGAATCCCATTGGGTTGGAGGCCGGCGGGGGCTCGGAAGTGGGGCGGGGGCTCTGCTGTCTCCTTTGTGCCCATGAGATGCTCCCTCTGCTGGGAAGGTGGCACAGCCGGCTTCCGAGCTCTCGGGTGCGAGGACAGAACTGCTCTGACCCAGCAGTGTCTTGTCCCTTCGTGCACTCAGACACTCACCTGTGTCATCACTGAGCCCCTCCCATGTATCAGATGCTCTCCTAGGAGCTGAGTGTAGGTGTGGGAGACACAGCCCTGTCCTCAGACAAATATACAAGCTACATTTAGAGAGTGGTAAGTACTAGGAATTAAATAAATTATTACAGCAAAGAGTGATCCTGGGAGTCGATATCAGCCAGGGAGGCCTAGAAAGACTTCTCTGAGCAAGTGATATTTAAGCTGGATTCAGCCCTAGGAACGGAAAGGGCATTTCATTTCAGAAAGCGAGGACAGCAAGTGCCAATGTCCTGTGGCACACTGGAGAAAATCTTACAAGGACGACTGGGCAGAGAGAACAAAGACGAGGGTGGAGGGAGATGAGGTCAGAGAGAAAGGCAGGGGCTGGATGATATGGGGTCTGCAGGGCATGGTGACAAATTTGGATTTCATTTTAAACATGTGCACCTGCCACTCTATGAAATGTTTACCCATTAGTCTGAGTTTTCATCTCTGGAGTCACATAGAGCTATTCTCTTCCACGTTACTATGCTCTTCAGGTAAATGAGCACATGTCCCGGTGCCGGGAGCCCCTTTTCTCAGTCCTGTCACTACTTCCTGCTGCTGTTCTGCCTTCTCACTATCTTAGCTGCTCCCTTCCGACTGGGGACCCTGCACGGGTAACCGTCCCCAGAACTCCAGCCAAAGGGCGCTGTCTGGACAGGTGCTCCCCCCCCTCGTCAGGCATCACCGGAGCATGCATCACTTACACACACTCTCCTCAAATCTTCCGTGGATGCTCATTTGTTAGGTTCAAGCCCACATTTCCAAGGAGAGGCTCCGAGAACGCTGAACGCCTCAGGCTCTGTTCGTGCTGAACATTCAGATTCTTGCAGTAATTCTCACTCTTTGTAATTCTGCTCAATTCAAAAAAAGGACAGAACTCATAATAAAAATCATTGTAATAAAAAAAAGAGGGAGGGAAAACAAGGCGTCTGTGCCGAGCCCTGGAGAGCACTGCTCGGTGAGACTGCCGCCCAGGAAGGGCTCCGGTAAGATCCCATTTTAGCCAAACCAGGTCAGCCTTTGCCTTTCTCTTTCTTGCTTAACCAGCTTCTTGCTCGCTTGTGGTTTCTCGGGCTGCCTGTAATGAGAAGTGTGTCCCAGCGTAATTACAGAGATGGAGCTCGGGGAGCGAGGCATCAGGGAGAACCACGCTGCTCGGGGCTGCTCACCTCACCGCCCGGCTCTGAGGGCCTGGCTGAGCTGGAGGCCCGGAACCTGGTCCTGTCTTGAGGGTCTTTGTTAGTGAAGCCAAGGGTGGCTTCCCCTGCCCCTTCCAGTAGAGCTGAAGTTCTTCACCTGTTATAAAATGAATCTGCATTCATGGTGACAACACTGCGTCACAGTTCTGAGGCGTTTTGCCAGGAGGATGAAAGCTCTAGGAGAGCAGCATCTGCCTCCTTCTGATGGACTAAGCCATCAGTCCAGCTATGAGTCTGTCCATCAACTTATCCATCTCCTCACCCACCCGTCTACGCAGCCGCCCCCTCACCCACCCGTCTACTCAGCTGCCCCCTCACCCACCCGTCTACACAGCTACCCCCTCACCCACCCATCTGCTTAGCCATCCCCTCACCCACCCATCTACTCAGCCACCCACTCACCCACCCATTTACTCACCTACCCATCCATGCATGCATCCATCCATCCATCCACCTACCATTTCATCCATCCATCTATGCCTTCCTTTCATCCTTCCTTCCTTCCTCCCTCCTCCTTCCTTCATTCTATCCAATGTCTCAGGCATGCTCTGAGCACTGAGGAGTCAGTGATGAGCCCAGTTATTAAAATCTCACCTTCATGGGCCTTTCACTGTAGCTGCAGAAGACAGACAGCATACAAGGAGACTACAGACAAAATGCCTCAGGAAGTGAGTTGTGATAAAGTCAGGCTGTTCACGTGAGGCAACACTGGGGTGGGGCCTCTCAGATCAGGTGCTGCAGCAGCCAAAGCCTGGCCCATGGCCCGACGTCCCTCACGGTGACGCCCTAGAGGGACAGAAAGGAGGCAGTCAGGTCTGCAGAGGGGAAGTCAGAACCACACCTTGGTGTTTGCGTGAGCGGCACCCCTGGAGGTTGTGCAGTGCACGGCCCTGAGCCTGGCGCTAACTGCAGGCCACCTGCCCGCTCCCATTGTGCACCTGAACTGTCCAGATTTGCTGTCAACCAGCCCGTTGATGAGGAAGGCTGTGGACAGTCCTTCCTTCATTCATTTATTCAATAAGCACACACTGGGAGATCCCTGGGGCGGGGGCTGGGGCTCTGTCCTCCTCCGGGGCTCTGCCTCTCCCTAGGCTGAGGCTGCTCCTTGGAGCCCCACTGGGGGCCGCTCTGGCCTGCCCCTTTCCTGTAAGGAGGGGGATCCCTGGGACCCCCAAGGTCCCTGCCTAGATGCCCGGGCAGAGCAGCTCCCAGTGCCCACTGCCCACCCTCCCTAAGCTGCTTTAGCAGGATCCGGTCTGCACCTACCTGGGGTTCCCAGGTGCTCTGTGCTGGGGAAAGGCAGGGGAGCAGGCTGCCCCTGGGCCAGCGGGAGCAGAGATCTGGATGGACCTGGTGGGCGCTGGTGTCAGACTAACCACCCCGATCGCTGACCGCGTTCTCACCGCACCGGCAGGGGGCCGAGTGCAGTACTCACGCCAGCTGCACACAGGTAAAGGGCGGGCGCTGCAGCCCACACTTCACAGGGACGAGCTCAGGGGGTCAGTGTCCAGAGTCCAGTGCAGACAGTCCCTGGGGCATCACTGGCGTGCTGTGCTCCTCCCAGGAGCCCAGCTTCAGGGACCTGGAGTCGGCACAGACTCTTAGGAACAAGACGCAGCCACGGGAGCTCGTCAACCATCAGTGCCAGGTGCTGAAGGCCTCTGCATCCGGTTACCATAGCTACCGCTTCCCTGCGCAGGTAGGGATATTTCTGCGTGCTGCCCAGAAAAGAGTGATTCAGCTGTATCAGCTGACGACTTGAACGACAAAGCCATCCTTCATTAGAGAGAAAAGAAAATCATTAAAAAAACAAATTCTGAGAAATCACACCCGTGTGACTTTTTGTTTGGGGCCTAGGATTCATTTTTGTTTGAAGGCAGCTCCATGTGGAGTCAGATATCTGGGCTCTGACTTCCAGGGTGATGGGTGGGGAGCCCTGGCCTCCCAGACAAGAGGCAAAAAGGACAAGCCGCGCACACCCTGCCCTTGAGACTGGCCGTGGACAGCGGTCCAGCGGGTCAGCTGGGGCGGGCTCGCAGCCGGAAGGGCGCAGGGCCCGGCTGGGGAGCTGGCTGGGGGACACACAGGCCGGTGGGAAATGTTTCTGTTGCCGAAAGTAATGGCATTCGTGAGCCGGATTTCCCAGAATCTGCCCCTCCTGCTGTGAGAGTCCGAGAGACGGCAGAGACGTGGAGAGTGAGGGGCCCACCGAAGGCCCGGCTGGCGGCTCCAAGCTGTGTTCTGAGGGCTCTGAGCATCCCCGGTGGCCGCTGGAACCCACGTGGCGCAGCTCAGGGACACTCGGGCAGGACGACTTCAAACCCGACTGAAGTCAGACCTGCTGGCTCAGAGATTTTTTTCTTTTCCTTAAGATATAATTTAGATGCAGTAAAGTGCAACCTCTTCAGCGTGCAGTTCTGCGAGCTTTGACAAATGCCTACAGTCACGTAACCAGCACGAGCAAGAAGAGAACGCTCCGCTGCCCCCGCCCCCCGCCCCAGCGGGGGTTGCCAGCCCCTGGCAACCTCTGAGCTACTTTCTGTTCTACTGTTTTGCCTTCTCCAGAACGCCGGGTAAGCTGCCTCGCACCACGCGCAGCGTTCGGGGCTGGCTTCCTCCAGGAAGCGCCGGGCCTCTGAGGCCCGTCCACGTGGCCGGGCGTCTCCTGGGCTCCTTCTTTTCCGCACCAATCAGTTACTTCCTCAGTTTGCTCTCAGCTCCCCAGTTAAGGGACTTTCGGGTGGTTTCCAGTGTGGGGTGATTTGGAAATAAAACTGCCATCGATACTTGCATTCAGGGTTTTGTGTGAACGAAGGTCCTCGTTTTCACTCTGCTCGGTCCCTCGGGCTGGGCGGCCGTTTGCGAGTTGCAAGGTGTAAGAAGCTCCCGCCTGTCGCGCAGACGGGCCGCACACGCCTTCATCCCGCTGGCAATCGACGAGGGCTCCTGTTTGTGCCCGTCCCTGCCAGCATTTAGTGTCACCAGTTTCTGACAAATGTGACTGTTCTAATAGGACGTGGTGCTGTCGCCGTGTTTTTAATTTGCATTTCCCCCGTGACGGATGATGGGAACCATCTTTTAGGGGCTTGCGTTCTCTTTGTAGATACTCTTGGGTGAGTTTCCATTTAAACTTTTGCTTTGCTGGCTTCTGTTTGTCTAATGAATTGAAGTGCCTCCAAAGATTTTATTATGGGGGAAAGAAGTACAAGAAAAATTCCATGGCCTGATAAAACAGATGGGAGCAGAGGTAGAGAGGTGGCCTCCCAACGCTGCATTTGGTACTTTTTCCAAAATTCCAGATTAAGGTCTGCATCCCGTTTGTCTTGGGGTAATGGCAGCGGTGGCCACTCCCACTCCACCGTCCACGTTGCGCTGAGGGTAAGCCTCAGCGTCCGATCACTGCTCTTTGCACGCGAGATGAGAGCACTTCCATCACAGTGACTGCTTTCACATGATTTCTGGTAGCAGACAGCGACTAGTTCATGATGGTTGCTAATGAACACTTGTTGAATACATGTGAGACTCAGTCCCCGCCCTCCAGGTCCTGCGTTTGGTTTGAAAATCCAAGACCTCCGTATTCAGAGGGAGAATTAAAAACATAATCTGTGCCGTGGGCCATGGACAACAGGTACTGGTTAGAAGTTCTGCAGGAGGTGGAGGTTAGGAGGGTCCACCGGGGGGAGGCGGGGCTTGAACTGGGTACCGAAGGAGACCAGCAGAGAAGACGATGAAAGAATCCAGGCTGAGGAGGGCAGGCGAGAGCAGGGCACTGGGGGTGGAGGGGCAGGGGTGGGGGAAACCAGGCCGGCCAGAGTGGAAGTGGCACCTGGTGGGGTTGCAGTGGCTGAAATTACAAAGGAAACGAAGGAGAAATGACAAGGGGGGCCCATCTCGTGAATCAGGGAACTGGTCTGGATTTGATCAAGGTCCACAGCCTCCAAGCCTGGTAGCCGTTTTGGTGACAGATTGGCTGAGGTCACAGGGGTCAGTACCAGCACATACACCTGCTGAATGAAGCGTCTGCCCGTCAGCTTCCCAGTGACAGGCAGGCATCACTCTGACAAGAGGTGCCTAACGTTTCATCAGATAAATCAGCTCAAACCCATAAGGCTGTGAGGTTGTGCAAAAAAAGAAGAAAAATTCCTAGGCTTATGCAGTAAAGAGGCTCAACATGGAACTCTCCTTAATCGATATAATTATTGCAGCATTTTTCCGTAAATTACATGCTTCAAGAAGTGCATTCCAATGTGTCGCAGTTAAATCACTTTGCTTTACATTTTCGGCCATTTCTCTGGTTCCTTAACCACCTCCTACTTAGTGTCTTTTATTGAAGGAGCGATCTATACGTGCATTGATTCAATTGCAACAGAAACCACGGTTCCTTCAGCTGGTGGTGGAAACAAAATTCTATTTGTCAAGACTCAGTCCACGGTCGAGCCAACCACAGAGTCTCTCGAGAGTCGCCCTGTGTGGGATGCCGTGGGCAGGTCTATGGCTGGGTTTACATCCCTAGGAGCCAGCTGGCACCTGTCGCAACCCAGGCTGTACAATCAAGAAACACATAAGAACAGGGCCATAAATGAAGCCAAGCACTGGCCCTGGCTCTCAGCTCCACTGGTGAAGTGGCTGGAACCCCACCCCCCTGTCCGTTGGTTCATGGGACCCCTGGGGAGTCTGGCAGCTGTCACAGTGATAACCGCCTCCGTGCGTCCCCTGGGCCCCTGGACCCCGTGCCCCCACTCTGATGGTACCATGAAAGCTTGCTTCCCAGGACCCACAGAGGCGTAAGGAAGGGACAGACCCACCTGGCGTTGGTGACGCTGGCTCACAGGGACAGCCCTGTAGCTGAATAATCACTCTGTGCCCCAGAAATTAAAAAAAAGAAAAAGAACAGACACAGAGCTGGCTCACGGCGACCCAGAACTGGGTGTGGCTTCTGGGCATCTGTCTGGAGCTCTTGAAACTCACTTTCCAAGGGAACACCTAACACTTACCCTCCAAGGGGCTGTCACATTAACTGACACATCACCATCCACGTGGTCGTCCGTGTTCGTCCACGTTTGTGCATATTTGTCCGTGTTTGTCCGTGTTCATCTGTGTTTATCCATGTTTGTTTGTCCGTATTTGTGCAGTGGCTGCTTCAGAGCTGGCTGGCCGTCCCCATGTCCAGCCTCACGTGGTGACCTCTGCCTCAGACCCAGGTCTGGGAAGTGACTCCTTCATCTGGCCTCACTGATTCACTGAGGTCACCTTTGGGGCGTCACTAAGTTCTACTGGAACGTGGCCAAGCCCATTCGCACGGGTGTTTTCTAGGGCTGCAAAGGCGGAGTTGAGTCCGTTCCACAGAGACGTCTGGCCGGCAGAGCCTAAAATATTTGCTCTCTGCTCCTCTGCAGAAACAGCTTGCTGACCCTGTTTCAGACGGCAGCGAGCACCTGACCACAGCAGACACTCAGGGCTCCAGGCTCAGGAGCAGCCTCGATGCTCAGCAAACGTGCACCGTGCGGGGCGGGGGCCACGTGGCGGGGCTCTGAGAATCAGGTGACATTTTTGCTCCATCTCACTTCCCAGGTGCCTCTTGACCCTGGATCGCCCAGTTCTCAATGCACCTCAGTGATTCGTCTGCTGCACACGTCGCCTTGGCGCAGGTGAGGGCTGAGGTCTTGGGAGGTTCCTGGGGTCTAAGGAGCTCAGACCGGAGGCCCCCTGGTCCCCTGCCGCCTCCCCCACAACTGGCCCCCTGAGCTTCCGGCTTTCTCTTTACTTGCATCCTTGTGAGATTCGTAATTGTGTGAAATTGCATGAAATGTGTGGTGCACTTGATTAGCTCTGCCTGGGGCTGTCGGTAGGTACGGGGTGTGTGTGTGTGTGTGTGTAGTAATTTTGAATTTAATGGTTTTTGCAGTTAAGCCAGCTAGAGCTGGAGGGTACGCACAATCACCAGGTGAAGGCAGCAATTTAACGGGCAGCCTGCTTCTGCTCCCGCTCATCCTAGTGCCCGGTGACCCTGCAGCCTCCACACACACAGGCTTAACTGGGAAAGAGGAGGTTCTGGGCAACTCACTTCTATCCCAAAGGCCTCAGAGTTGTTCACTCCGTTTCCCTTCCTCTGTCCCATGAGGTAAGTGAGGGGCACACGGATCGGGAAGAAGACTGGACGCCCCATCACAGATGGATCCTCCGTCCAGAATCCACCCTCCCGGTGGTTCTGGGCTGCGCAGAGCCAGGCCAGCGTCTCCCAAACGCGCCTCACCACGAGAGTCGCCGGGGACGCAGGTGAAACGCGCACACCCGCGGTCCCCCTCTGGGGATTCTGCCTCAGCGGGCCCGGGGTGACGTCTGGCGCCTGCCTTTTCCCTCTCGACATTTCTGAGGATTCCGATGCTTCGGCAGCCTTGGGGAGCACGGAGCTTGTCCACCAGCGAATACAAATGCCAGCTGGCATATTTCCTGTGCTCACCTCGTTCATCTGCCCGTCCACCCTCTGAGCAGGCATCGGCACCCCCATTTCAGAAAGGAGGAAGTGGGGGCTTCCGAGTGCATCTCTGGGGCAAGGTGCCCCTGCAGGATGGGCCTGAGAGCGAGCGTGGAAGCAGGTGCACCCTTGGGAGCGTTCACTCACTCATCCACGCACTCACTCACCCACTCCAGCTGTGGCGCCGACACGCGTATCCCTCGTGTATCCCTGTCCACAGGGAGTGCCTGCACCTGTGCCTGAGCCCCATCAGCACCTGCGCTGGATCAGCATCTCTGTCTGTCTCACGTCTGCTTCTCCTTATGTCCAGTCACACCCCCGTCTGTATCCTTATCTCTATCTGTTTATAATTAAGCACCTGGGTGCCAGGCACTGGGGATGCCCATTTGCAAGTTGGGAAGGTTCCTGACTTCGTGGAGCTTACAGGCTCCTGGGAAGGAGGGCCTTTAGCATCCAGTGGTCCAGACGGCTTTCCCATCACAGTCCTCTTAGGTGGCACCAAGGAGACCCCTGGGCCCCGCCTGCTCTGGGGCACCTGGGAGAGCTCAAGAGAGGAGACGTGGGAGGCAAGACCAGGCGAGGGTAGGTCCTGGCCCAGGTGCAGGGCCGGAGGCCCTGGAAGGGCATGTGGAGGCTGTCGGGATGAGCAGGGCCTGGGGCCCTGCTGCTACCGGAGCCCAAGGGTCTAGCAGCCCCGGGAGCAGTCAGGTCGCCAGGTGAGGATCAGGCCTGGATCTGGGTGGGGCCATGAGCAGAGAAGTCACGGGGACGGCTCTGCAGGGCATCAGCTCATCTTCAGAGCACAAACACATCTGCAGTTTTATTCTTTTCTTAAAATATCCGAAGTCTTCAAACCTGCAAAATCAGGCCCCAG